CTCTATAGAGCTCTATAATTGCAGAGCTTTATAGTTATGACTCTATAAAGCTCTATAATTGCAGAACTCTATAGTTATGACTCTATAGAGCTCTATGATTGCGGAGATTTATAGAGCTCTATAATTGCAGAGATCTAGAGTTGTGACTCTATATAGCTCCATAATTGCAGAGCTTTATAGTTATGACTCTATAGAGCTCTATAATTGGAGAGCTCTATAGTTATGACTCTATAGAGCTCTATAATTGCAGAGCTCTATAGTTATGACTGTATAGAGCTCTATAATTGCAACACCATTGCAATTATATCAATTCCACGCACAAACAAGTAGACTGGTGCCAAAAATTCAAGGGACAGCCTCGTAGAACCTCAAACAGGACGGTGTTGATATAGCTCTAGTGCTGTAGGAACTATATGGAGCTCTAGAACAATTAGAGTCGTCTTCCTGTGCATAGATCGCTCTATGTGCAACAGCATCGCAGTTCTATTAATTAAAGTGTAGTTAGAATATCGCAGAGGAAGGGATGGACGGAATTCTCTCGCTGAGAGAGCTCTAGCTCTAATCATATAGAGCTCTAGAGCGTTTATAGAGTAATCTTCCAGTCTATAGATCACCGTATGCTCAACAACATTGCAATTCTATTAATTTAAACGCAGTTGGAAAAACGCAATGGATGAACGGATAGAAAAGGCGTCGTTGAGAAGACTCTAGTGCTATAGAAATAATATAGAGCTCTAGAACGTCAGCTAGAGTCATCTTCTGGCCCCCAAATCTCTTTATACCCAACATCGCAATTCATCATCGCAATCTTATTAATGCGAGTCCATTTAGAATGGCGCAGAGACAAGAACGAATGAGATACACAGGTCGTTCTTAAAGTATTCTAGCGCTCCTACATAGAGCTCTAGAGCTCTAGAGCTCCGATAGAATCATCCTCCATTATACCCCACGACATTCCAAATCTGTCAACTTCTCACCACGGAACGCTTTTCAAACGTACAACCTAACCACCCGACGACTCTGCACGATATATAATTCTCCTCCACCCAAAAACCTATCGTCACTTCTCCGAACTAAATTCGGATTGCCAGACAGGGAGCCGAAATGGAACAGAGGTAGTTGGGAAAGCGATAGCGCGTACTCCGTAGGTGTACAGTAATACCGATGTATCTCCTCTTCTCGATTCTTCGTCGTTGCTCGAGCATGAAAAATCAGCGCGTCTTTGGAGGACGGGGAGAAAGAAGGGCCCCGGATTGGGGAGGTGAAGGAGGAAGGACCAAAAAGTGCACAACGAGGCACGAAACTCGATACAGCCGGTCGGATCTCGAGGTTCTGGCAACGCGATATCCCTGATTCTCGCCGACGTGCATGGATCATACTCGGCCCTCTGTTAACTCGTGCTGCGCCAAAAAACCAGCGCCCCTAATCGGAATCAAATCTCTATCTGTCGCTGGAGCCGCGGCTGGGACTTCTTTACGACTTCTCTCTTCTTTCTTGCCTCGGTGCTTGACCCCCTGACACCGCCACTCCCTCCCTCCCGCCCCCCTCGGGCCCGCCGGAATTCTCTGTGAGAACCCGCCGCGTTTCTAGGCCGGGCCAGAGCCTTCGGGTTGACGAGATCGCGATTCGATGGTTCTTCTCGCCACGCGGCGACACAGCGTAGGAAAACACCGACCGGAGGACAGCCGTAATTTTCGGCGTAATCTGGTTAAGCTTGAAACGTTGATGATACGAGATACGCCATGGGTCCTTAGCGTAAGGTCAATATGGACTATATGCCTCCATTGAACGTTAGTCGACTATATCCGCAGTTTTATAGATTGCAAGTAGATCTTCAGAATCCGTACTTGTTCTGCTTATTCTCTGGCATTCCGTAGCTCACCCGATATCTTCAAGCACCCCGGACCCGCCCCCCTCGCAGTAAATCCAGTACCCTCTAGTCACTCCATAGCTGAACTTAGGACTCTCTAGCCACCCATTCCCGAGTATAGTATCCTCTAGCCCCCTCATAGCTGAGCTCAGGACTCTCTAGCCCCCCATTC